TGTCGACCTTTCATAAGCTTAAAATAATTGTACACTTTTATTTTGTTTTCGTTTAGTTTCAAACTGTCATCTTAATTATTATATATATATATATAAGTTTTTATTGTTTTGTATATTAGACTATGATATAATATAAAAAAACGATTTAATATTTTAGTTTTTATTGTTTGTGTGTGACTTATAATTAAGTATTCTACCAAATATTAAAGATATTCATTGATAATTTTTAGAACATACTGATATTCTATCAAATTAAAGGTGTTTGTTGATAATTTTTAGGATATAACATTCATAAAATTTTACAATTCGATAACACACCGAAAAAATGTTATTAATTTTGGTATCTCTGTTATATTTAACGTACGCGTAATAATTCTTATTATTTTGTTAATCTATACTGAAGATGATTTCAACAAAGGATTGAAATATTGTATCTAATATATTTAATTTTTATCAATACATATACTTTTTACATAATTCCATCCAGTGTTGGCTTTCATGGACTTTATTTAAAATTTTATCGTAATTATATATTCTATAGATTTGAATATATTATAAATTGCAGGTTTAAAATCATGCAGGTTAAAAATCATTTCTAACGAGACTTATTAATCAATATAAAATTCGCGAAACAACACGCTTTCGATGGAATTTTTTCCACGGTTCTCTGAGAATCTCTCCTGCATCCTTCACCAACTGAGTTCCGAGGGAACTGTAAAACTGCATTCTTTATGAAATGTACCGTTAGTCTTTAAGGGTAATTACTTCAGATACAAAACTTCGCAAAGTATGAGACTATAAAACAAGAAGTTTTTGCAGCCAGGCCTGCAGTGCGCGACGCGGAAGCGAAATATTTTCCGGACGAGCGAATGTTTCTCACCGCGAGCGTCAGTGTTTGTTTCCGCGCCATAATAACTTGCCGGTGATAAATCACGCTCATGCGATACTTTGTCAAACGGGTCCGACAGCGCGTTTAAATAATTAACCTTTTGTCTCGGACGGGTGTGTAATTTTTTATTGAATCCTATAACAGCAGCCAACTGCGCTATTGCATGGATGAAATACCGTGATTCAATATTGTGAGCGTTGTGACGACGACCGTGATTTATATCCTCCTTTGTAACACATTTTGTTCTGATAATTAATCTCGTAGTAATCTCACGTTTTGCATATATTCGCAATAATTTCATTCATGTTATTGCTCTTTATAATTCTGCCCTTTGCTATATAAAAATGGTGCCCTTTTAAACGCTATGCACGTTTTTATATATGTATGGATATATATATATATATAAAATATGTGTATTGAATTCAAAAATAATTTTAAATGAAAATAAAGCTCTACATATTAATGATATTTTTATGGAAATTTAATTTCTACAAAGAATCAAGCATTTGTACTTTTTCATTTTGAATATAAGATTATAAAAATGTATTATTTACAACTTAGTTGAATTTCATCAATCCATCGTAATAAGAGAGATACACGAATTTAAATAAATCATTGCGGAATTAATTTAAGTTTTTGTTTATTTCACCATAAAGGCAAATTACATTTGGCTGCCAATATGTTATGTACACCAACGTGTCAATGATTTACGCCCATCAGAATCTCGTGCATTTGCAACCGAGCACGTTGAAAGCCCAAACAGAGAAACATGGTTGTTTACTTAATGAAATACAAAATTATAAATATATCAGCGCAGAGTTTATATAACCGTAATAATTTTCCGCTATCTTTGCACGTTTCATAATATTTGCAATGTTTCTCGTAGTATTAAATTGTTTACGGATATTTACTAAATGAATAATCTTTCGCAGTTATACGATATATTCTATAATCATAAAATAATTTAATATTATAGCTTGTTCTGAGAACTGTCACGGAAGTTCTTGTTTTAAAATACTTAGATCGCAATTTATTTTCATAAAACTTTACACGGTGCTACGAATGCGCCGAAACTAATAATTTTTATATAAAAGAATTTATATATAGACCAAGAGGCCGCTGTAGTGATTTTGTTATATGTTATATCCATAGCGATAAGTATGGGAAGTGAATAATCGCTATGGGTAACAAAATACTTGTTGTTATGAATAACAAAATCACTACAGTGGCCTCTTGATCTAATATAAAACTATTCCGTATCTATAAAATATAAATTGGATTTCACGTCAATTAACATAAATTACTTTAACTGACATAAATTCAATTATTAATTGGCAGATGACAGAATATAAGAACAAAATTGGCCCGTTATAAAATAGACCGTTACGATCACATATAATTATTATTTGTGAGTTTTCAAATTTAATGAAATTTATTATATAATTAAAATTCGTGAAAATTAAAAAACGTTTCGTGACGGATCGATTTGTTATTAATATTCTGATAATGTTCTTAATTGATACGCTTAATGCAATATAAACTATAGCAATATAATGATTTCTAATTTTTTCTTTGCGAGTTTTGTCTCCGCATATGGTAAATGTATTTCTTTTTGAAAGGATATACTCGTACAAATGATAAGTGATAGTACATTCAAGATTAAATGACTTGAATTTAGTAATCTAATTTGTTTTAGAGTTTCTCTATTTTAAGATAATGGATCGATACGATGTCATATATATTGTATATATATATATAA